TACTAACTACTAACTACTAACTACTAACTACTAACTACTAACTACTACTACTAACTACTACTACTACTACTACTACTGCTACTACTACTACTACTCCCGCTACTGCTACTCCCGCTACTGCTACTGCTACTACTGCTACTACTGCTACTTCTACTACCACCACTACGACTACTACTGCTACTACTACCACCACCACCATCACTACTGTAACTAGAACTAGCGCGCAAGTCGTGGAATCTCGCATCTGGCTCCCACGTAAAGGGCGTCAATTCCCAATTAATAACACATTAAAGTGTGAAGGGACATGTATCTATATACAATCCCCCCAACAAACACGGAAGTGAAGAACCCTCTGTGTGAGAGGAAGAAAGTCTTTCAAGTGGTCATTTTCACTTCCATGATTGTTTGAGTGGGGGTAAATGTTAGTCTAAAGGATTCTAAAGGCGCATTTTGCTGCAACGTATGGACAGGAGATGGTGCACAGCACCCTGTCAACCCAACACTAGCTAAAACGATTCCGACAAAACATATAGCCAAAGAAAGTGACATTTAGAGGTCCGATCATCCAACAGTCACATTGAGATTGGGACTCACTATTCCCCTTCGAGGATGTGACGAGCTCGTTTCAGCCTCGGCATCAACTGCTTTGCCAAACAACTAGATCCGCAGCTCCTAGAGGAATCTCAAGGCTCCCAGAATGGGTGGCACACTAGAGCCTCCTTCCGATCATGCTCCTTCTTCCAAGACATTGAGAACACATATTCCAGCATCAAATCAATTAATAGCTAGTCAGGCTAGTCCAATCTGAAGCTCAAGGTAGATTTTGTCAAGTATCCAGCCAGGAGGATTTACACACAACTTCCAGTTTGTGTTGAGCCGTGCTGGAAAGCGCTCATCATCCAGAAGCTCCTCTGTTACTAGTCAGTACTCTTTGTCCAATGAAAGGTGTTCTTGACTGTCCACACAGTGTACCCGTGTACCCTCACGATCCTCTAAATATCTGGAATGGTTTCGGTGAATCCTTCGTTTCCTGGACGGAGAACACAAACCTGAACCTGAACCAATGGGGAAGCTGCCAATCTTCCCAAAGACCGCCCTCCAAGCGGTGCACCTTGGCTGTTCGCAAAGGTTGACCACACGTGAAATGCACACCTAATAGCAATGGCCTCCCACCTAATAGCGACGGCCTCCACGAACTCGATCAAGAGACCACCAAATCATGGATGTGCAATTCATATCAACAAATGTGTTGGAAGCTGGTATGGTATCTGAATGGTTGATGGCATCTCAGCAATCATGTGTTGGCCTACGTTGTTTAGTCTTGTCTGCCATTTGTCCATAAAAGCCTCATGAGCGGGGGCAAAAGACTCGCTGGATACAAACAGACTCATGCTCTTTTTGCACCCAACTAGCAAGTCTAAGCTGATGCTCTAAGGACACTAAACTCCTACCCAGGAATCCTTGGGAAGCAATCTCAAGGAATCCTTGCAAAGGGTTGGCCCTTGTTGCATCTCAGGGTAGTTGCAAAGCACATCCCAAAGAATCCCTGCCAGTAACAAGTGCATTACTACTAGTAAGAAGAAGCTACCAGCAAGGTGCATCGCTACTAGTTAGCAGCAAAGACAATACTAGTAGCTAAGTGCAATGCTTGCAACTTACAATCTCGCACATGGACTTCCCCATCACCGCGACTCGTGAAATGGCGGTGTCTATGAAGCCTTCGATACTACGTTTTGTGGGAAGACATGTAGACTCTGAACATCTCTGGATTCATAGATAGAGCGCTTTTAATTTTTAATCAATCTCAGTGGAACCCTGGATCAGGGCCGAACAGATCGTCCTCGCGCATTCTAAAGATTTCCAATGTGCTACATGCTTGAGTTCCCGGCTTGCAACTCAGAGATGAGCTGCTCCATTCCGAGGACCTTGTCCGCCTGGCCACTCTGTTGAGTCTCCGTGAACCCTAAGAAGGTCCCAGCGATTCCAGAAAACAAAATAACCCAAAACAAGATCAGTCAGAAAGGTATAAAAAGGTTAATTGTTTTCTCAACATGGCAAGCAACAAACTAACATCGTGAGGAGAAGCCTGGCCATGACCATCAGAAGCACGAACACACCTAGAATTCGATGTATCCATGCATGGCCCCAAATGATTGACAAAATGTTCCTCTTTCAAATGTGGATGCATATTCTGGCCAAGTTTCTGCAGGCTGCAGCCTGCTGCAGTAGCTGCTTTCCTTTTGTATGCACCCAACGCTGCAGCTATCTGCCTCCTACACTGTCCTACACAAGGCACAAGGGGCTCCTGGCGCTCTGCAAGGTTGCTGGAGTTTCAGCCTGCCAGACCCGCCATTTGCTGCAAGTTTTGCCGCTGGTTGTTGCACAGGACCCTTGATCCAAAGTGCTGCTCAACTTTTTCTATCTCGTCGATGAAGCGCTTCACTGCAGCCTTATAGAGTTTCATGTCCTCCGTGGTCATTTCGTCTACTTTCTCGATCGTTTCCTGTGGCATGTCTTCAATCGTCTGGTTGTAGGAATACCCGTGATGATGATCGCTCGGAGAGAACGAACTCCAAGTAGGGCTTTCACACTTGCAAGAATCCGGAAGCGACCTCAAGAAGTGCGCATGGAACAAACAAAAGGATTCATGATACGCTTCAACCACCCCAAGCAGTGTGGCAGCCTTCAGGTTCTTCATTGCCTCATCCAAGTCAGGTTTTTCATAGCAATATGAGTGCGCACGCGGATGAGACTCTTTGCACACCAATCTCGAGGTTTGCATATTGTACGGACAATAGCAGAAGTCTTTGTCAAGAAGCATATGATGGTCCCCAAAGCGTGGGCTTCGTTGCCACTCAGCCACCCATTTGTTAAAGCTTCTCGGCACGTGATGGTCTTCCATCCCTGGAAATTGTCTAACAATGTGCATCTCCCATCTGAAGCTTCCACTAATAAAATTGTGGCAATGCTGGTACATGGCGAAGACGTGATCTCGAGGTCGTCGCACCATCACCACTGTATCCTGGAAGCTTCCTTCCTTGGATTTGAGGATCCGAATACTTGAATTGCTTTTCAATTCCAGTCAGTCTGCCCTCCTTTCATCTCCTTTGTAATTTCTTTGATCGTGTCGCGGTTTGATTGGAACCAACATTATTCTCATGCGTTTCAAGAGAAGGTTGTGAGCAGCTAATCAATCAAGTCAGGAAACAGGCTCAGCCTACAAGTTCTTGAAGGACAAATCTGGTTAGCTGGCTAGTTGGCAAATGCAGTGTTTTTCAAATCAACCCGCACACCGCCGTGGTAAGATGGTGTTGTAATGTGTTGTGTCATGCAAATCCAGGCGTCCAGGGACTGCGAGAAACAGGTTTCCTTTGAATAGATCTGCTTCCGGCCAATAAAGTGGCTCAAATCTTCGACCACAGAACATCCAGCGACCTGAAGGGCAGTTTCCCCCCGGGCTTCCCAGGACGGTTGCATACTTCCTTTAACGCAAGTTGTCGTGTACAATGTTTGGCAGGGCACTGACTGAAAAAAAATGATTTGGTTGAATAAGCGTCCCTTTCGGCACCGAAGGAAGTTGGGATGTCTTTTGGAAGCCTCCAGTAGGTACTCAAAGTAAAGACACCTGCCTTCGGCGTGTGAAGATGGAAGACTTTGGCATTTGGCTTGAAGACGTCATCCCAGCAAAACTTAGCTGGGCCTCGGTGGTGGAGACCAAAGGCATTTCCTAACAGAACAATGAGAAGAGTAATCATACCGGATGGGACACCATTGGGCGTGTGGTTTCGCACTTGAGCCAACCGCGAAATACATGCATACCTTGCCCAGCATGAAACCCAGGGCATGCATTGGTGCATCAGATTCAAGGATTACATATGAAAGAGACCCAAATGGCAATAGCACAGATGGCCTTTGGGCATACACCTTCAGGTTACAGCTTGGCATCTGTTTCCATCAGAACATAGTCTAGTCCCTAGTTGCAGTACAGAGAACCTGTTCTGAAAAATTGCACAGGAATGGTCGCATTAAAGCCTATATTACTTTCTACGTCAAGGGCCAAGCCACCAGCCAGCACTTGCACTTTTGAGATTGGTGAAAATGATGAACACGCAAACACTATTAAGCGGCAGACCTTCTAATAGCTGTCGCACTAGGTACTTGAGCCACACCAAATAAAGGGTCAAACATCTATATATACTTCAACTCCAAAACCCATTTTAGCGTATAAAGACACGCATCCTCTCATCCTGTGACCGCGACGGTTCACACGACTATGCGATTGATTTATAGGGCTACCCACGATCCTCCGAGTCCAGCCAGCCCTGCGCCTCCCTCAGCCGCTGACGCTGCGCGTCCGCCAGTTCCTGACATTGAATGGGTCTCGCTTGTGATAGGAGAAGCCACTGTAGTCTTTGTTTCTGTTCAGACCTTAAGCCTCATCGTTGCCTGCGTGAGGCCGCTGTGAAGGGCGGAGAACAGTCCTCTCTAGAGGTGCGCAGCTGGCGTAGCGCTTGCTGATGCATCTTCTCCAGGAATTCAATCCTGCAGGTGGTGCCAAGGTTCATGGTTTTTTTACCGTCTACGAGACATATGTTCGCCATGGTCCAGTGGCGGAGATGATGCTTCAGCCTGGGCCTGGAGGTTCACAATATCTGACTGTCATGGATACAGGATATAAAAGAGATGAAGAAAAGATGGTAAGGGTATAGAAGCCTTTATTATTTATGCATGCTTCAAATTTATGCGCGCGCTTTGCATACAATATCAGAATCATTGCTCAAGAGGCCTCAGAAGTACCAGAGGCCATGTGGCCTTACAGTGAGTACCAAAATTCCTTGGTATGTTATAGTGAGAAGTGCTGAAGTCTAACAAGGCCTGAAGGCCTTTACTAAAATCCGCGGCTCCCATACCCCAGCTATAAAGGTTGGCAATGGCTGCACTTGGCGCAGGAACCAAAACCAACCAAACATTTCCGCAGGGGGTTGCAATAGCACTGCACGTACTGAGATCGCCAATGTGAAGCAAACACAAAGGAGACAGTGTACATGTCAGGTGTTTGAATCTGTGCAAGCCGAGCTGCATCCAAGTTTCATTTTCAGCAAATCTGCGAAGAATAAATGACTCAGTGACTCCATGTAAATACATTTCGAGTCAGCCCCTTCTGAAACCTGAGCAGGATGTTCCCAAAAATGCCAGTAGTCTATCTGGAATTGAGACTGTTCAACATGAAATGAGCCACTGTCAATGTGTCAACATAATCTTTTCTCTAAAACGACATCGGAAACAATTGGGCATGAGCCACGGTCAAAATTATTTGCTGTACATGACTTCTTCTCGCCTAGCGATTTAGTGAGCCCCTATCGTTCTACTGTGTTTTGAGCACTACCACAAAATCAACGGGACATCCAAAAAGAGCCTCCTTTAGAATAATTTTGAGCGTGATTTGGTGAATGTCCGCCAAGCAAACAAGCTGCTAGTTCCTGTGCAAGTAATTAGGCAGGCGCTACAAACATGGACCACAAAAGCGATTGTATACATAGAATGAAAAAGACCGAAGTGGGTAAGTGTTTGGAGTCGAAGTGAGGCTGGACTACGAGGATCATAGCCCCGCAAGAGTAACTCCATAGCTTTAGTGTTCAAGCGGTTCTTGCAGTGTAAAGAATCAGTCATGTCTGGAGTCTGGATGCATTGTTCTGTCCTTGTGCATCAGTACAACTGTCCCGAACGCATCCCGAGTGGTGAAAACAAAGAGAGTGGGGCATGTGCAACTTGCGAGATAACGACAGCAATCTGTTACGCAGTAATGATGCATGGCAGAAGAAAAGGTGCCACTTGTCTTGTAGCCAAAATGTCACCCTGTGTGTAACCACTACATAGCGGCATTCACTCATGCTACTCCGCTATTGCTCAATTACAACATGCATCATTACTGCGTAGCAGATTGCATTCGTCTTGAACACTAGCCAGCAGAATCAAGGATGCCTGAAAGCTTATCCACCTGTGAAGCGGAACACCACTGCCCCGTGTACTGCTTGAGGCATAAAATGCGCCGCAAACCAGCCCTTTAAAGACTCGTGATACGCACTCATAATCTCTCATGATTTCAAAAGCAAAGACTTCAACAAACTCTTGCATAACAATACCATTTGGCAACAATGCTTGGCCGGACTGCCGAACGAATTCTGTCTTTATATTGATGTCATGCGTGAGGCAGGGAAGCCCTTGGACATGTGATGCCGTTGGCAAGACGTGAAATGCTTGAAGTGCAGTGTATAGACAGAGTCTAGAGCGTCTAGAGCCCAGTGGCACATAATAGCTCCCATTCTCAAACCAATACTGTCCCCATTCTTCTGAGTTCTGGTTTTGCTCCTTAAATTCCTTGCTCTGGAAACAGGCCACTCTGCCAATCCACGTTGCCTACCGACTGTCCTCTTTCGTGCTATCATTGATGCTCAACACGAAGAATGCAACTTGTCTGAGGTCTGGTGCAAAATGGTTTGCCGTTTGCCTCTAAGTTTGAGAGCTTTTCAAAACGGATGGAAAAGGAGAAGACTGGCTTGCGTTGAATGTCGCATGGTTTCAAATTGTAGCCCGATCATGCTTCACGGCCCACTGGAATGTCATCAAGTCACAAATCTTTGGCCCAGGAGGATCAGCATGTTTTACGAAATCTACTAGTAACAAGGACGCTATTAGGTGGAGGCCATCGCAAGTAGGTTGGAGGCCATCACTACTAGTAAGTAACAAGAAGCCACTAGCAAGTGTGTCTTAGTATCTCAGCTTCTTGGCCGACCACTCGCTTCGGTGGGCACTCCCCTTCTTCCCCGCTGAATTATTCTCTGCCAACAGGCCGGGACCCCCCCCGGCCTAGCCCGCAGGCTAAGGCTGAGACAGATTGGTACAGAGTGGTCGCGGCGCCATTCTTTTACCATTTCAGAAGCAAAAGCTTACAGTAGCGGTTACATAATTCTCGTAAAACAAGAGCAAAACAGTGTAGACAACAGAATGGCTTCCTAACTGTCCTAAATCCTCAATGGGTTCGTCCAAGGCCTGGAATACATGCTGCATGCCATCAAAAACATAAAGTGCATCAAATGGTCTTTTGAAGGAACGTTCAGTTGGATGTTGCCAGCGACATGCTAGAAGAACATTCGGGCAAGTTTGTCACCATCACAGAAGTGTGGGCGTGCTTGCGTGTTTGTACGCTCTTGTTCTGTCATAAAGGAGTGGACAGCGTCTTTTTGAAAACCTCAAAGTCCCAGCTGCATGAAATGCAATAAGGATGCTTGGAATATTTGGTGCGCCGATGTAACCGCTGTACCAAAGGCTTTCCAGACCAAGTAATGGTCTCAGCTGGGTCCAGTTCCTAGGAACTTCCCGAGTCACCTGAGTCACCAGTGTTTTAGCCTTGGAGTCGCAAAATGCGAGGAAAAGGAAGTGTAAACGGAAATGGAGCCATGAAACGTAATGAAACAAAACTGACTTAATAAACAAATCAACGACCGGAAAACCAAAACACAAACCGATGACACTCGAAGAATTGGAATATATTGCCCACGATATATAATAATGGCCTCAAGATGCCTCAAGGTGCTTTCCTAATGATCACTATGCCACCATGGAGCTATAGCCTTGCAGCTTTGCCTCACAAGTTGGAATTTGCCAGCGATTCAGCAAGAGTGAGAGAGAGGTAGAGGTAGTTGACCAAAGAAAAAGGAACAAGAATGAGACATGAACACGTGACCTCAAAATTTCAAAATGTAAGCGGCCTGCAATGCACGTACTACAAAAATGGTTCTTCGAGTCCCTTTCTACAGCTTCTCTCTGAAGGAACATGTTTTTTGTTGCGCTGTTTGTTGCCCTCGGACCTGAACCTTCGCTAGGCCTTGGCAGATTCTTACTATAGAAAGTCTCACCAGGAAATCTCGCGAAACCCACACCAGGCTTAGATCTGCAATACATGCTGCAAGTGGATGGACCAGTCGTTGTGGATGCCAAAGACACACGGAGTAAACAAAACACAGGATTGAAGGGATCCGTAATTACACATACACAAAATTACACAAACATAAACTCTCACTCTGACTCACTCACACTCACACTCACTCTCACTCTCACTCTCACTCTCACTCTCTCACTCACTCACTCACTCACTCACTCACTCTCTCTCACTCACTCACTCACTCACTCTCTCACTCACTCACTCACTCACTCTCTCCCACTCACTCACTCACTCACTCACTCTCACTCACTCACTCACTCACTCTCACTCACTCACTCTCACTCACTCTCACTCACTCACTCACTCACCAACCACTCACTCACTCACTCACTCACTAACTCACTCACTCTCTTTCACTCACTCTCTTTCACTCACTCTCTTTCACT